CAGAGAGCTCTGTCTAGAAATAAAAAGTATTGTTGTTATGAAAAAAAAAAAAAAAAAAAACCAAAGCAAAACTACAGATATAAACACATACACACAAATGCGACCAGGAGTACAAAGTATCTAATAATTAATATTAAGGTGCCTTTTCAAAACTACTTACCTAGACATATGTGAAAATATATTAACCAGAAAAATTTTAAATCAGTTCATTTCAATGGCATATATCTTAAATCAACAACATAATAAAAATGGCTGTTTGTTTTATGAAGAATGTTTCTTTAAATGACTCTGCCCCTCCAATACATTGCATTAAAAACTGTCAGCCAGGCGTGGCTCACGCCTGTAATCCCAGCAATTTGGGAGGCCTAGACGAGTGGATCACCTGAGGTCAGGAGTTCGCGACCAGCCTGACCAATATGGTGAAACCCCGTCTCTACTAAAAATACAAATATTAGCGGGACATGGAGACAGGCACCTGTAATTCCCAGCTACTCAGAAGGCTGAGGCAGGAGAGCTACTTGAACCTGGGAGGCAGACGTTGCAGTGAGCCAAGATTACATCACTGCACTCCAGCCTGGGCAACAGAGCGAGACTCCATCTCAAAAAAAAAAAAACAAAAAACAAAAAACTGTCAAAAGATACCTTCTCTTGAAATGTGGCTAATTATATCACTCTCCTGCTCAAAGTCCTCTCTCACTGCCTTGAAGATAATTTTCACATTTCTTAGCCTAGAATCTCTCTCCAAACCTGTTTCAAGCAAAATAAACCACTCCCCATTCCCTACATACATCTTTGACTTAACATTGACTTACACAGGTCTCTGCCTAAAAAATCATTCCTCCATTCAAAGCTTGCCAATATTTTTTAAAGCCAGCTAAATACCTCCTTCTTCATGAAGGTTTCCCCGACTCCCTATCTGAACTCCTATAAGTGCACCTCTTAGGGGACTTACTGCTTTCTCATACGAATTATTATTAGCTACTCCCCAAAACGAGAACAAGCTACTTATAGACAGGTTCTGTGTTTACCTTTTTACTGCCCATAACTGATCACAATAGTCACTGGAAGTTTAAATAACTGAAACTGAAACTATTACTCCAGGAAGAGTCTCCAATCAGGTACCATGGGAAGGAAGACAGAGGTAACTGCAGTGTATCACGCATGTGAACATCTACCAGTGGTCTTTAAAACCCAATGTCACACTACTGTCATCTCTACATGCTAAAATATGTCTAATTTCACTTGTATTTTCTTTTGGCCAGGATGCTTAACAGCTGGTTTAAACTGCCTACAACATAGCTCCCAAGTGTAATAGCATTTGCAAATATTGATCCTATGCTCACTACTGTAGTGAATAGAAAGTCCTTTGTCTACAGAACTCTAACACAGCTATAAGCAAGAACTCTCAAAGAGTAAATCTAAGATTAGGCAAATCCAAGAGGCAATCTGAATTATAGTTCATAATTTTAAAATCAAGTATAAAACCTTCTCTGAATCTGAAATCACAAAATTTTGATAAAGAGAAATAGGGAAAAGTATCTGGGATGTAAAGCAAGTTTTTAGACATATGATGCTGAGAATCATCTGGCTAAATATCACTAAAGTATATATTTCTACTCATAAATCCTTACTGTGTAGAACAAAAAAAAACGGGAAGAGAAAAACCTCTGGGAAGCACAAATAGCTGTGGAACTACTCTTATTTTTTTAATCTACTATGTCTAACAAGACTCGTGAACTTATTTCCAAGTCCATAGTGAACTATGTGCAAAATATGTGGTGAGAGGCTGCCCACACATGCTGAAAGCGGAGAAAAGTAAAAGTTGCCAGCCTAACGGTAAAGTAAGACAGAGGGAAAAAATTTGAAGAGTAAACTCAAGAGCTCAAAAAGCAGAGCAGCCTGAGAGTAAAGGGGGCAAAAGTTCCTACAAAGCTGGCGGGGTCTTCATGGCTTCACTATGTTACAGCACAACACAATAATTAATCTTCACTATGTGAAATCTTAGTTATCAAGTAAATTATGTTTCTTAGTTTGTTAGAGAAGTTGTGACAGCATTTAGAAAGGCATTATCCAAAAGCTGTGCTCTTTAGAGATAACCCTTAATTCCTTAGAAAATTCAATTGTGTGAAATATTCCATTTCTTTTACACACAGAATGAAGATTTTACTCCTTTATGCCAAATCATTTTGTATCTTCTTGATTAAAATGACTATCAATATTTGTGATTACGAGCTTGGACTTAACAACTCATACAAACAATGGCAGCACTAAGCAACACAGCAACTCCAGCACTTCCTTACACTTCTTTAAAAGTAACAAGTTCCTAGCACTGAAAGCACTTGCCTTTTTTTAGGTTCTTAAATTTCAGGCACTAAATATAAAGTAAATTTCAAGAAAATTATTTTAACTCCAGACACTCAAAAGTTAATTCTGAGTGCTAACTTTGGTTTTCTCTTCTTCTAATTTTTCGTCATCTAATTCCTGGTAACACTAAAAATAAGGATATAAGATTTCTCATTATCAAAATCATCCTGTCATCACTACTCCTATCAAGGATGGTAATAATGTGATTCTCCTGAATTGATATAATTATCAAAGAACATCTCAGAAAACTTAGGCAGGCTCACAGAGATTAAAGTTATCACAGCTACAAAATGACAGCAGAAATTGGTCTGATTTCTAGTTAAGTATGCATCTACCATTTATCAAAAAGTTCACAATCCAAATGAAAATTTAAACGACGTGCATTATCTTAACTTGCTACATAAAAAGACTGTTTCACCATCTTTGATACAAAGTGATGTGAATGGGGCTCGTGGAAGCCTGCATGATGGTGGATTTGCACTCACTCGTCCATGCTCAACTGACCTCGATTGTGAGCAAATCTGAAAGACCAGCAACAACCATAGAAAAACGGTGGAACTAACCGGCTCTAACAACACGCTGGCAGCAGCACTACCCATTCCAACGGGCAAAATCCACCACAAACTACTAAGCGCAGTTTGGAATCCCAATTAGGCACTTAAAAAAACAGCACAAAACCTGCAGTGGGTAGGGCCTATTCATTTAGGCATCCAACAGTCTTCCAGCTTTTCAAAGACATTGACAGGATTATTCCTGAATTTGTCAAACATAACAAAGTATTCTGAATGAATATTCTCTAATAATTGCATATAACGTTAAACAGAAAAATGACAGGCCAAAAAAACACCATTCTAAGTCTTAACAAACCTTTCCTAAAAAATTAGCCAAATAAAAGTTCAAAGGTTTTTTCTTGACTAGAGACATTTAAAAGTGTTATTTTGGGATGTTACCTGTTTAAAAAAAAAAAAAAAAAATTAGTTTGAACCTGACAGATTATAATAAATTTCAAAAAATTTGAAGTGGAAGTCTACATTAAATGACGCAGGAATTTAAAGTCAGAGTACATAGGATACACAAGATTTACATCAGTATTCATCTTAATTATGATCAAGCAGCCCAAAGTTAGCATTTCAAAGTTCCCAAAAATCGATAGTTAAAATGGTTTTCTCCAAATTCTTTTGCAAGAGGAAGTCTTCATAAAAAAAAAAAAACACACAAAAAACAGAAAAAGTACAAACTACAGAACCTGCCTGCATTATCTACAGTTAACCTAAAGCTCCCTAAGCAGACACATAACCAGGAAAATCAATATACCATGGTATTAGGTACACCCTGCATTCATATATATACTACAATGCATTCTTCATGTTGTTACTGACTTATCTTCCAACTCCCCGAAGAAAGCTCCGGAATACAGAGAACTTGGCCTTTGGCAATCATCACCAATCCAATTCTTAGGGGAAAAGAGTCCAGAAGAGACAAAGGAGGCAGGGAACCCACCAAACAAAAGGAAAAGGCGGCGAAGGTCAGGTGCGAAAGCATTTGATAGACAAGTTTTGAAAAAACTCAATTCCAATTCTACAGATGCTCGGTAAGTGGGAAGGGAGGGTGGCTAAAAAGATTCAATAATACTTCTTATTAGCAGGAGGGAGAAAGGATTAAAAGCCTAATTTCTGCCTTTTCTCCAAAAATATAAGTTAATCAAGCCCTAGCAGTTCCGAAGCAGTGATTATCCAAGACTTGTCAGGAAACCCCGTGCTCGGCTTTGGCAGCCAGACAGACCCGGGGAAGCGGCCGAGGCGGAATAGGAAATGCAACCGCGAGGCCTGCACCATCCCCTCCGCCTCGGGTGCTAGTTTCCAACCCGGAGAGGTCACTGGCCCAAAGTGGGGAGCGGGAGCCTCGGCCCGGGCCGCCTTCTCCCTCCACTCCGCTTCCGCAAGGGGGAAGCGCAGCGGCCGGGCTCAGCCGTTACCCTGCCCGGAGCCTCGCGGCCCGCATGTCCATTTCCCCGCCTGCCCCTCACACTGGGAGTCGCCCGATCGCCCCGGGACGCGGGGCGCCCCCGAACCCGCCCGTGCCCCCAGCCACGACTCCCGTCCCGAAAACTACGGCTGACTGCAGAACGAAACCCCCCAGGAGCTGCGACCCGCGGGCCGTGCAGGAGCCGGGGATGCGCCCGCCCCGGCTGCTCAACCCCGGCCCCTCAGCCCCGGCGCCCACCGTCAGGCCAGTGCCCAGCACGATCACGTCGTACTCCTCATTCATGGCGGTGCAGGCGCGGACGCAGGACCAGAGACAGGAAAAGGCGCAGGGGCTCCGTGACCACCCTACGAGGCTGGGAGGCGCTCTCGGGCGCGAAGGAAACGGGAAGAGAGGAGAGGAAAATGGAGCTGGCTACAAGGCGAGACCCGCCGCCACCTCAGACGGGAAGCGAAGAACCGGGCGGGGAGAAAAGGGGAGGGGGCAGGGAGGGGAGGGCGGTGACTGAGCCTCCGCAGCCGGGGCGGGGCCTGCAGGCGCCAGGAGGGCCGCCAAGCAGGCGCTTCCGGCACTCTAATTGGTTTTGTCCCCGTCACTCGCCCAACTTTTTTTCTTCCCCGCCTCTCGCGAGAGGAAAAGGGCGGGGCGTCGCCATTTTGGCTTCCGGTTCCCGTTGCGGTCTCTGCCACCGGGGTCTGGGAGGCGGCGCGTGGACCGGGGTGGAGGTGCACGGGACCGCGGGAGCGGAGTACTGCCGGCCACCACGGTTCTGACTCCCGCCGTCGGGGCGGGAGCTCGCTCGGTCCAAGGTCCCAGAGCCGGACCGCCGTCCTTGGACTTTGAGCGGGTGCGTGCGGCGGCCACGTGGGCGAGGAACGTGGGTCCGGCCGCCTCTCGGGGGTGGCGGCCTTGATTCCTCCCGCGGGGCTGGGCTCGCCGGGGCCCGGAGCCCGCCGGGAAGAGTTCGGAAATCACACGTGTCCTGTTTCCCGCTCTGTGCCTTCCCTGTTTGGTGTGTTGCCGGTGGGCGCTTTAGGAAAGTGGTAGGAGGAAAAGCGGCTTCTTTTGCTAAAAGTAACCCTTAACGGAGATGAAAGTGAAGGCCAGGTTTCATTGGGAAGCCGATCCGCACTTACCCAGGGCTATAACTTAAAGCCACTGTAAACGTGGTAGCTGATCCTTGGATGCAAAGATTTAGGCCCTAAGCTTAGAAACTGTTCCTTGCTTGCCTTCTAACCCCCTCCTCTTTTTCTAGAATTCTCTTAGGAATCTCTAACTTCATTGAGGACACGGGTGTAAGCAGAAGCTGTGTTCTCAGCTCCAAGAGGCAAATCACACGAAAGCCTAGGCAGGTGAATTTCCTAAAGGCGATGACAGTTGGAAAACCTGTGTTTTCAGCACGTGATAAATCTGCATAGTCAGCAGACAATGAAGATTTGGCATTCAAGAACTACTCAAATACTTCTCGGTGATAGCTATCATGAGCCTGCCTTGATAGACCGAACTTGCTCATATTTAAATAATCAAGATTGAGGAGAGAATGTAACAACTTTTAAAAATGTTTCTTAACCCGTAAATACTTGGAGAAGATGTGTTATATTGGACCATGGACCTTTTTCTCGGGGAGGGGAGAAGAAAGCAAAAGTAAAGTTTAAATTTATATTCAACCTTAATTTGATTGTGTATATTTGTCACCAAATAAATTAGTGCAAAGTTGACCTTACAACTGATTATGCAACAGTGAATGTAACTGACTTTTCTTTTGGCTAAGCTAATGATGACTAAAGAAAGTCCTTCTGTTGCTCTGTCTTCAAGTCATCGGGGGTTCTTCTTTTCCCTTCCTTTTTTTTTTGGCCCATTTTGAATTCTTTTTTTTTTTTTTTTTCCCTGAGACGATCTCGCCCTGTCGTCCAGGCTGGAGTGCAGCAGTGCAATCATACCTCACTGCAGCCTTGATCTCCTGGGCTGAAGCCATCCTCCCACCTCAGTCTCCCGAGTAGCAGGGACAAGAGGTGCAGGCCACCACACCTGGCTACTGACCCTTTTTTTTTAATTAGCAATAACAATAAAGAGCTTTTATCACAATTGCCATCAGCCTCTGACTGTTGAAGAGAAATTTAAGGATGTCAACTGAATTATGTTAACCATGTTTCAGGTGAAGACTGTTTCATCAATACTCAGAGTTCTGAGAAACTTAAAGACACTGAGATAAGGGAAGTCAATTTAAGGCTAATAAGGATCCCTTCCTTACTTAACACTGAAGTTCATTTTAGTTGGCAGTATAGAACCTATGGCCCAACAGAAGGACAACAATCAAACCTGGACTGAGCCTTAACAGACTGAGTGCATCTAAAATGCTGTACTTGGGCCACGCACAGTGGTTCACGCCTGTAATCCCAACACTTCGGGAGGCTGAGATGGGAGGATCACTTGGGGCCAGGAGTTCAAAACCAACCTGTGGTGTACAGCCTAGGTAACAAACTGAGACACCGTCCCTATAAATTAGCTGGAGGTTGGGCACGATGGCTCACGCCTGTAATCCCAGCACTTTGGGAGGCCGAGGCAGGCGGATCACAAGGTCAGGAGTTTGGAGTTTGAGACCAGCTTGGCCGATATGGTGAAACCCCATCTCTACTGAAAATACAAAAATTAGCCGGGCGTGGTGGCACGTGCCTGTAGTCCCAGCTATTCGGGAAGCTGAGGCAGAAGAATTGCTTGAACCAGGGAAACAGAGGCTGCAGTGAGCCAAGATCCCGCCACGCCACTCACGCCTGAGCAACAGAGTGAGACTCTGTCTCAAAAAAAAAAAAAAAAAGGGCAGTCTGGGCGCGGTGGCTCACGCTTGTAATCCCAGCACTTTGGGAGGCTGAGGCAGGTGAATCACAAGGTCAGGAGTTCAAGACCAACCTGTCGAAGATGAAACCCTGTCTCTACTAAAACTACAAAAATTAGTCGGGGGTGGTGTCAGGCGTCTGTAATCCCAGCTACTGGGGAGGCTGAGGCAGAGAATTGCTTGAACCCAGGAGGCAGAGGTTGCAGTGAGCCAAGATGGTGCCACTGCACTCCAACCTGGGCGACAAAGCGAGACTCTGTCTCAAAAAAAAAAAAAAAGCTGGGCATGGTGGCAGGAGCCTGCAGTCCTAGCTACTCAGGAGGCTGACCTGGGAGGATCCCTTGAGCCCAGGAAGGTCAAGGCTACAGTCAACCGTGATGATGCTACTGCCCTCCAGCCTGGGCAACAGAGCAAAACCCTGTCTCAGAAAAAGAAGATTCTGTGCTTTTTATTGGATCTTCCACCCCACCCATTCCAGTTGCAAGGGGACTTGTAGACGACAAATACTGCTTAAGGTGAAGAGACTTGAAAGCCACTAATTGGTTCAGTGGATCTCATGCCACAGAAGGTAGTTCCTGCTAGAGTGAAACCTTAGGTTTAGGGGAAGTAGGTTGGTTGGTGAAGATGAGTGGAAAACATCAATATTTTTAATTTTATTTTTTGGTGCCAAAACCCAAGATCAAACCAGGACACCATCAATCTTTAAAATATTTCAAATCTTAAAATTAGCCAGGTGTGGTGGCACATTCCTGTAGTCCCAGCTACTTGGGAGACTGAGGCGGGAGAATGACTGGAACCCGGGAGACTGAGGTTGCAGTGAGCCAAGACCGCACCACTGCCCGCCAGACTGGGTGACAGAGCCAGACTCTGTCTCAAAAAAATAAAATATTTCAAATCTTTATGCAAAGCAGGAATCCATGGAGTCTTATTTATACTTGGGTACATGGGAATAATTGTTTGCTGATCTGTTTTTACTAATCATCCATCTGCACTTTGAAAAAGAGAGATTTAATCTAAGGAAAGAAAATGAGAGCAAACTTCAGCCCAGACCATCTTTCTGTCTCCTGGATCACCGTGGCAGTTTCTCAACAGGTTTTTTTTCCTCTCTTTTTCCTCTTCTCCTATCTGTTCTGTCCATTTTCTTCTCAAAACACTCATCAGATCACGTTCAGACTTCTGTATATCTTTTATACTTAGAATATATTGTAGATCGTAGCCGGGCATGGTGGCTCACGCCTGTAATGCCAGCACTTTAGGAGGCTGAGGCAGATCATCTGAGGTCAGGAGTTTGAGACCAGCCTGACCAATATGGTGAAACCCCATCTCTACTAAAAATACAAAAATTAGCCTGGTATGGTGGTACACATCTGTAATTCTAGCTACTCAGGAGGCTGAAGCAGGAGAATTGCTGGAACCTGGGAGGTTAAGGTTGCAGAGAGCCAAGATCGCGCCACTGCACTCCAGCCTGGGGGACAGAGTAAGACTCCATCTCAAAAAAAAAAAAAAAAAAAAAAGGGATACCTTGCAAATCCTTAAATACGACCTAATACCTTAATCTAGCCTCTGTATGTCTCTCCAACTCTATTTTGTAGTGCTCCTTGGCTCCTTGATCATTAAACCCTAAACATGCTTGTGTTTCGGGTTTCGGTTCCTAGAATCTAGTCAAGCCTTTAACCACCGGAGGGCCTTTGTACTCTTGCTTCCATGGCTACCACTCCTCACTTCCCCCTGCACCTCTTCATACAGCTAACTTTTCCCCCTTCCTTAGGTTTCAGCTTTCCCCTCAACCATCATTGTCTGTCAGTACCCTGCTTTTTTCTCACTGCTTTTATTAGAGGGGTAATTATTTTCTTCACTTGTTCTTTGCTTGCCAGATTGGATGTAAACTCCATAGAGGCAGGGATATTAAGCCTGGACACCCAGTAAAGGGCTGAGCAACTAGTGGAGGATGAGTAAATATTTTACAAATGAATAGGGGACTTGGAAGTTGAGCCCCAGATCAACAAGGACTGAATGTGATGATATTGGTACTAGTTCCCTTTTTTTTTTTTTTTTTTTTTTAAAGACAGGGTCTCACTCCGTTGCCCAGGCCAGAGTGCAGTGGTACAGCCATAGCTCTGTGCAACCTCAGCCTCCCAGGCTGAAGTGATCCTCCCTCAGCCTCCTGAGTAACTAGGAGTACAGGCATGTGACCACCATGCTCAGCTAATTTGTGTATTTTTGGTAGAGATGGAGTGTCACCTTGTTGACCAGACTAGTCTCAAACTCCTGGGCTCAAGCAGTCTGCCCACGACAACCTCCGTAAGTGCTGTGGTTACTAGTGTCAGCCACCGCCAGGCCCCAGTTCCTCCAGATACTTTGGAGAAATACAACTTTTCTTCCAGGAAGAGATATTAAAACTAATATTTTAAAGAGTCTTAGAGATAGGTATCTATAAAACATAAACCTGTGTAAAACCTGGATAACTAATGCTGTAGAGGGAACGTAATGGGATCTCTAGAAAGGAATTTTAATTAAGTTCCAAAAGTCTATATTTCCTAGCTTATGATCATTCACTCAGAACCATCCCCTACAAACTGTTTGTCTGCTCCCAGTCTTTATTTTATTTATTTATTTATTTATTTATTTATTTTTGAGACAGAATTTTGCCCTTGTAGCCCAGGCTGGAGTACAATGGCAGGATCATGGCTCACTGCAACCCCCGCCTGCCGGGTTCAAGTGATTCTCCTGCCTCAGCCTCCCGAGTAGCTGAGATAACAGGTGCCAACTACCACAGCCAGCTAATTTTTATATTTTTAGTAGAGACTGAGTTTCACCATGTTGGCCAGGCTGATCTTGAACTCCTGGCCTCAAGTGATCCGCCCACCTCAGCCTCCCAAATTGCTGGGATTACAAGCATGAGCACAGCACCCAGCCCTACTCCCAGTCTTTATTTCTGCTCAAACCAGAATTCTAGATGCCATCGTTGGTTCTGCCATCTTTATCTCCTTCCACATCTATTCTGGTTTTCTATTACGGTGTACAAACCACCCCAAAATTTAGTGGCTTAAGTGGGGAAAAAAAAAACTAGCAACTTAAAAAAAACAACGTATTATTATCTCTTATGGATCAGATGGGTTACCCAGGTGATAATTGCCTGGGCTTTCAGACAGCTTCAGTTAGTGGCTGGGCTGCAGTCATTTGAAGGTTTTACTGGACTGGACATCCAAGATGGCACAACCACGTGGCCAACAGCTGAGGCTGGCCATCGGTGGGAGCTCAGGGGGCTGTCTACCAGAGCAGCTATGTGTGGCCTCTGTTTGGCTTGCACTTCTCAGAGTGGTGGTGCTGAAAGAAACAAGAAGTGGAAGTAACTGTCTCTTAAGACCTGGACCGAGAAACTGGCCCAGAGTCACTTCTGTCTTGTTCTGTTTGTCAGTGCAATCACAGAGCACACCGAAATTCAGATGGAAGAACTGTGGAGCCTGTCTCTGTTGGAAGAGTATTAATAAATTGGTAGCCATCTTTATTATTATTACTATTATTATTATTATTTGAGATGGAGTCTTGCTCTGTTGCCCAGGCTGGAGTGCAGTGGCACAATCTTGGCTCACTGCAACCTCCTCCCAAGTTCAGGCAATTCTCGTGCCTCAGCCTCCCGAGTAGCTGGGATTACAGGCACACGCCACCACACCCAGCTAATGTTTGTATTTTTAGTAGATATGGGGTTTCACCGTGTTAGCCAGGCTGGTCTCAAACTCCTAACCTCAAGTGATCCACCAGCCACAGCCTCCCAAAGTGTGAGACTCCAGGCGTGAGCCACTGTGGCCAGTGGTAGCCATATTTAATCTGCCACAGTAC